CCATTGTTTCCAGATCTATGTATTAGTAACAGACTTATTCTTTTTCTGTACAAAAATCTGGTCTGTACTTTCCATCAAACAGGGCTTTCATAGACAGGTCTGTTGGAAATTACTGCATACTTTTCATAATGTTCAATTTATACAACAACTCCAGGAATGGGATCTTATTTTCTTTTAGTGTGCTACTAAGTGAGGAGTATCTGAAAGAGTTAACAGTTCCAGATGTTCTGCCTTCAGATTTAATGCTGAAAACACGCAGTCTTTCGGCCAACATACATGGAAGTTGTACATGGGGACCTGCAGAATCCTGCTTGTAGAGGATAACGAAAAAATTGCCCTGGAAATTATACTTTCAAACTGTAAATAAACCTACACCTGAAACTGTTCAAAGTTTCCATTTCAATCTGAGATTTTGTAAGGTTTCAATTTTTTTTTTATTCTTGAAACGTTAGACTATTAAGTATGTCATCTAATGCCTATGTAACGACCCAACTGGCACATACTCAACTCATTCAACTCAATATACACTTCCTCCAGACAGGTGATAAACCTCAAACCCTCTATCTCCTTCCCCTTCCAGTTCCTCCGCTTCTTCCCACTGCAGCTCAAATTCCCAACACTCAACCTGCAGATCCTTACTGGACTGGAGATCTGACCTCACTTTTCTCCAGAATAAGAAAGTTGTCACACATCCACCAGGAATCTAGCCCGCTGACGCAACTGCTGGATCGGCTCAAATCAGATACCTCTGGCGCTAGATCTAACCTGACACTTGCCAGCTCCCACGGCGGACCAGAGGGATACGGCCCACCAACAAAACCCACACAAGACCCAACCCGAGATTTCATACCACTAAATCATTCTGCGCTGGACTAACCTTCAGCTTTACCTTCCCAACTGCCAGCAGGCCGAATTTCTCTGAGCCATTCTAACACATTCTAAAGTCCATATCATTTACTTTGCCAATTTCAACGCTGTCCCTGTGACTTGGCACGCTACCCCTTCTGTCTTGGCATCATATCAAGCTGGCAACATATTACCTACTGCCCTGAAATCCTTTGTCTTATAGCCTATCACTTCACAGCTTCTAAACTACCTATCTGGAAACCTATTAACCTGGAAACTATCCCTACCATTCTGGCATCTTAGACTCTGCACACCACCACTTTCCAAGCTGGTACCCTATCCATCTGACATCCCACTTACCTGCCACAACACCCCTAACACTATGGCACTTTCACGCAAACACCTCAACATTACACTCACCATATCTACTTACACTTTGGCAACAGCTCTCTGAGTGTTTGTGTCGAGTTTTAAATGTCAGAATGCTGAAGCTGACTGCTGTGAAAAAATGGCTGTGTTTTTCCTTCCCCAAATATTAGTAAGCTGCAATATCACAATATAAGTATTGTTCTTCATTTCAAAGGTAGCCCTGAGGGGAAAGCCTCGTCAGAAATGCAGAACTCCACACTTTTAATTCATTAAAAAAAAAACAATAGTACAAAGCATTAATGCTACGGAAATATAATTGCTAGGAAGTTCAGAAAATAAATAAAACCATCAGAAGTTTGATACATTGAAAAGGCATCTGAGAGGTTTTCAGGTGGGACGCTGTGGTTTTCTTTGGGGTAGGGTATAAAGGGAAGAGTTGCATAACGTTCTTACACGGAAAATTCGAATTTAGCATGCGTTTACTTCGGTTTTTCAACGAACATGATTCATGTACATGCTGAAATGAGAGCACTACTGCCTGACGTTTCAGTTGAAAGTTACAACATTTGCAGGGAGTACATGTTAGTGTCGATTTGTCCTGCATAACAAGTCTTCAACGTGTTGAGTTGGAAAAATATCAAATTCTGATCAGATTGTTTTGTTATGTGCGGGAACTTGTCATCTCTGCCGAATAACATCAAATGTGTCGGTAATGCTGACTCGCAACTACTGACAGGCGAAGAGGACTTTACCTTTTAAATTTCTTTGCTAGAAACGTAAAGAAACGTACCTGCCGTATCAACAGAAATACATTTGAAACCAAGCCCAGATTTTCTATGTGTGTTTATTTTCTGATCATATTACTAAAGACAGAAATGTTAAGGTAGTGCCCCGCCAGATTATATAATTTGGGAGGTCACGTTGCGGCTGTGCAGGAGATTGGTTAGACCACTTTTGGAATACTGCGTGCAATTCCGGTCTCACTGTTATAGGAAAGATATTCTGACACTTGAAATGATTCAGAAAAGACTTACAAGGATGTTCCCAAAGTTGGAGGTTTTGAGCTATCGGGAGAGGCTATTTTCCCTGGAGTATCAGTAGCTGAAGGGTGACCTTATACAGGTTATAAAATCAAGAAGAATATGGGTAGGGTAAATAGACAAGGTCTTTTCCCAGGGTGGGGAAGTCCAAAACTAGAGGACAGACGTTGAAGTTGAGATGGGAAAAAATTAATAGGCACCCAAAGGTCAACTTTTTCATGCCGGGGGTGATGCATGTATAGAATGAACTGCCAGAGGTAGTGCTGGAGTCTGGCACAATTACAACATTTAAAAGGCATCTGGATGGGTGCATGAATAGGAAGGGTTTAGAGAGATATGAGCCAAATGTTAGCAAATAGGATCAAATTTAGTTAGGATATCTGATCAGCGTGGATGAGTTGGACTGAAGGATCTGTTTTCCGTGCCGTGCATCTCTATGACTGTAAATACAATAGTCTGACTGCACAGCCAGGTGTTTCAGTTGCCACTGAGTTGTAAGTGTGAGGCAGCGAATATGGTATATGCTTCCATCCCTGCCAGGGATGCTCATTTCCTATGAATGAAATGAAATATCTACTATATACTCCATTACATTCATGACATTAAGATGAACAAGCACGCTCAGTGTGTTTGTAAACGCTAGACGCAACTTAGAAACAGCACCACTTCCGGCGTCAGTTCAGATACAGGAAAGATACTAGAAACTGTAGTTGCATTCGGACCAAAAGAAGAAGGGTAATGTGAAGTGTTGCATTTTGGTATAGCAGATCAGGGCAGAAAATACACTTAATAGCAGGGTCTTGTGGAGAGTTGCCAGACAAAGATAACTTGGGATGGTGGTTTATAGATCCTTGAAAGTGGCATTGCAGGTAGACAGGGCAGTGAAGAAGGCGTTTTGTACGATTCTCTTTGTTGTTCATTGAATTCATTCAATACACTGAATATAGGGGTTGCTGTGTCCTGTCGTGGCTCTACAGGACATTGTTTAGGCCAGTTTTTGAATACTGCGTTCAATTCTGGTCTCCCTGTTTTTGTAAGGATGTTGCTAAACTTGAAAGGGTGCAGAAAAAATTCACACGGATTTCGCCGAGATTGGAGGGTTTGAGCTCTCGGGAGGCACTAAATAAGCTGGGGCTAATTTCCCTGGAACGTCGGAGGCTGAAGGGTTACCTTATAAAGGTTTACAAAATCGTGAAGCGCATACGCAATGTGAATATCTGAGGTCTTTTTACGAGGATACGGGAGTCGAAACGTAGGTGGCATGGGTTTAAGGTGAGAGGGGTAAATTTTAAAAGTGCTTAAACGTCAACTTTTGCATGCAGAAGGTGGTGCATCTATGGAATGACCTGCCAGAGGAAGTGGTGGATGCAGAATTAGTTACATCATTTGAATAGCATCCAGATAGAGATACATGGGACAAATGGTGGCAAACTGGGCTAGATTAATTTCGGATACTTGGTCAGCAAGAACGAAGTGGACCAAAGGGATATTTTCCACGCTGTCCAACTTTATGTCTCTATCTCACTCCACTACTGAAGGAAGAGAAACTCATTGCATGTGCAACTAATAGCAGCCGACAGCACTAGAAGATTACAGTCATTCTTGATTTTTCATCTTCAAAACCGGCAGACTTTCCTTCTACAACCCGTGACTGCACTACATAGCAACTTTGATAGCCTTTAATACATACCACGCTGATTTATCAGTCCGTGATCAAATGAAATCCGGCACTGAACCACTTAGAAAGATGTTATCGAAGAAAGGACGAGACGATTACTTGGAAAACTATATATGACTAACCCTTGTCAGGAAAAATAAGACAACTAGCTGATTGATTGCATCACTTTCTCACCAAAGGAGCTCCGGAATTGTTTACTATCTTTTTTAACCCCTTTGAGGAGTTGTAACTTGGCTGTACTTGAACCATCTCCTCTTCCGAACTAAAGCGAATCTGAGTGCAGATAGAATTTCATGAATAAAACACAAGCAGTCTAAAATGTACCAATGAGGCAGTGACTAAAATTGTGATAACTCAAGGGCAGGAAATGAAGTGTGTAGATACTACAGAAGTTTGTGAACTGGAGAAGGTTATAGGTATATGATTGGAGTCTGATCTGGGCAAGGTGAGAGAATTACCATTGGTCAAGCACTGAATGGACCTCCTATGCCTCATTCATTTTGAAGTAAACTGTCAACTAATACCGTGAGGCTGCACTTTCCAGTTGCATATAATTCTTTATCCAACTTGGCGACACTGTGGCACAATGGTTAGCACTGCTGCCTCACAGTGCAAGGGACCCGGGTTCAATTCCACCCTTGAACAACCGTCTGTGTGGAGTTTGCACGTTCTTCCTGTGTCTGCGTGGGTTTCTTCCAGGTGCTCTGGTTTCTTCCCACAGTCCAAAGATGTGCAGGGTAGGTGGGTTGGCCATGCTAAATTGCCCATAGTGCCCAGGGATGTTTAAGTTAGGTGGGTTAGACATGAGGAAAATGCAGAGGTAGTGGAATGGGTCGTGGTGGGACGCTGTTCAGCGGGGTGGTGTGGACTTGTTGGGCTGAACGGCCTGTTTCCACACTGTAGGGATTCTACGTTGTATCAAAGCTGGTGTTTTCTTCTTCAGAAGAAATAATTGACACGAATACATTTGTTAAATTACTGTAAGTAATCTTAGGGATGCATCAACATGCTTGATTCCCTGTAGGTTTGATGTCAGTACAAATATGAAGTTCCTTCTCTTACTATAGGTGTGTATCATCCACAGTCTTTCAGGTTGGAGACAAAGAATCATATTCTGACCAAGAAATGTACAAACCTGCTATTCAGCTGGTGAAAGAGGCTTACTACCCAATTCTCGCATCGGTTGCTCTTCCTGGTGAGTAAGTTTTACCTGTTAGTTTTTCACCTGTGTTAAGTGTTTTCTTAATGAAAAAAGTTAGTCTTTTTTTTTGCAGTATCCACATAACCCTCTAAAAATGATTTGATATTTATATTCTTTAAAGCACCTGGATAAAAGGATTTCCTGGATTTTATAACTGTCTTGCCATCCATTGCAGGTAGATGTCTGCAGCAGAGTATTCATCTTATTCAATATGTGGGTTGTTCTCCCATTTTGATAGTTACACTGAATGGATTGATGTACTATCAATAGTTATCTCTGTTTTCTTTTTCCAATCAGACACTGGAATATTAATTATCTGCTCTAACTGTTTACAGCTAACTTGGTGACAATCTTGATTCTCTCAAGTGGAAACTGTGGCCTTTCCAAGTGTATCTCTGTTTATATGGTGGCAATGGCAATAACAGATCTACTGGTCATTATCATCAATGTGATTGTGTATCATATCTTCATTTATCACTTTCCATTCTCATTCTTGTCCCACACACCGGTGTGCAGGGTCATTTTATATCTGACTGCTGTGTCTCTCGATTTATCTGTTTGGTACGTAGTCTCCTTTACATTCGATCGATTTGTCGTGATCTGCTGCCAGAAGTTTCAAATAAAGTATTGCACCAAAAGAACGGCAGTAGCAGTTATAATAACATTTTTGTTTCTGACTCTTTTAAAGGAAATACCAATTTTATTTCAATTTGAACCTAACCAAATAATTAACAAGGTGCAGTGGGGTTGTCGCCAAAGAGCTGCTTATTTCTCTTCACCTGCAGGAATAGCGTTTGTCTGGTTTTACAGCACCTCAGTCGTTTGGCTTCCATTTGGCCTGATTTTCCTGTTTAATTCAATAACTGTCAGACGTATTTTAGTGGCCAATAGAACGCGTTCAGTACTTATGTGCCGCGGGAGTGAGAATCACAGAGACTCAGAGACTGAGAATCGAAGGAAATCCATCATTTTACTCCTCTCCATATCAGTCACTTTTATATTGCTCTGGTTGACAAACGCTGTGAGTTTTGTAACTACCAGATTTGTAAGCACTAGGTATTACCAGGGAAACCAAAATAACCCTGATTATATCGCCACTGAAACTGGATCATTCTTGAAGTTGTTGAGTTGTTTTCAAAACCCGTGTATTTATGCAGTAGCCCAGAGAAAGTTCAGAGCAGAGCTAAAGAGTGTGGTAAAATCTCCATTCAGATACATCAACAGGAAAAGATAAGAACAGAAACGCAAAAAATGGATACAAATAAATCAACTCTTTCGAGAAATTTGCTGGTAGTGACGTCACAACTTCCATTTGTTCCTATTTTAGATTTCTTTTACTAGCAATGTGAAAACTGGAGGAAGGTCACGTGCAAAATTCTGGGTTTTTGTCCTCGACGTTGTCGCCAGTTGCTGTTTTCTACTTTACTGAATCATTTGCTGATTAAACATTCCTATTGCATCAAATTCAGGTATCAAAGATAATTATGATAAGGTCCAGTAACGTCAGACAAATGGCACCAAAATAATATAATACTAACTGGAATTTAACTCAAGAAAATTATATTTGGCGTCGAACTATCTCACTTGCTATTTTAGAAGACCTTGCCGATTCTGCTGAAAGTATGGTGTGAATTTTGCAATCTCTAGGTAGACACTTCCTCAAAGTCAAAAAGGAAGATTCTCTTATCACATATTGCGTGGGAATTAAGGAAGAACCTACATTCTACCTAACAATTGGATTCTTCACTTCTTCCATCTTTAATATTCAATTTGAATTACAACATTGTACTGGCTGGTATATTATCCATCACGAACTAGAGATTCTATTTGGAAAAATTAAGTGTTACGAAGTTGTGCAGAATATTCGTGACTTGAAAGGCAGGAAGCCAGAATTTCTTTCTAATAATTATAGGGGGAAAGAGTGTGTGGTTCCTTTATGAGGTAAAGTGCTTTTCTAAGCTTAGTGATTTATCTAGAAAAAAAAAGCTGCATCCATATGTAACTGAAGTTGTACAGCCAGTTCTGAAATGAAAGCATGTATCAATTGGCTGTGTGATTGGAAAGCTTAAGCTTGACTTGAAGTTTTGGCAACGAGCTGGGATCAACCAAATAATTTAAACCAAGCCCTTAGCGATTGAAAGTCAACCGAATTTAAATCTGATGGTTTTGGCAACCTCGGGACCAATGGTATTTTAAAATATTTTATATGTCATCTAAGGTACAAAAGGAGTGGATTTTGAAAATCAGGGTGAGAGCGAACCAGCATCTGAAAAATAAGCATCGAGCTCTCACACGAAATCGTTAAGCAATCTAATAAAGCACCATATATCCATAAAAGGTACCACGGCACTTCTAGCTAAAAGTCGAATTAATAGAGAAACATCCCTGACAGCAGGACGAGCAGAAGAAAAGTATTTATGTTGGACCATAACCCTGGTGATGTGTGATTTCTGACCTTCTTAGGTGTGAGTTTTGAGAAATCACATACTATTTTTTAACTTATTGTTTGGAAGATTGAGGGAGAGAAAGTAACAATATCGTTATCCACGACACTGGCGTTAAAATTGCAGATTGAGAACAAACTTCATGGTTTTCCTTAACTAATAGTGCAGAAGGAGGCCATTTGGCCCTCATTGTCTCCGCTGGTTCCCCGTGAAGTAGTCGAGTCAGTTCCTTCTCCACACTTGACCCGTTAAGCATAGGAATTCCATATCACTCAATTTATTTCTGAGATCATTGACTGCTGCAATTTGCATCACACTCGTGGAAAGAGACGTCGAATTCACTGCCAGTAATTGAATAAAGCAGTCGTGCAGTCGGGATGTTATTTATTATTGTGCAGTCGTGGAATATGGATTTTATAGATTGTTGTACCGACATTTCCACGGAGATGAATGAAATGTTCTACTTCCGCATAGCAAACTTATCGACTTGATACTGCTTTTCATGTTACCTCATTTGTTATTGTTTTCCAGTTCTAACGTGCTCTCAACTCGTTTGGCACCATCTTGTAAAGCATAAAAATAAACTGACGCAAACTATGATTTGAGAAGTCTGCAAAGGAAAATCTTCTGGCTGAAAGATAATTAAGTTTTGATTATAACCAGCTGTTTTTGCAGGCTACAGCCCACCGATTATGCGTTCTTCATGTGTTACCTTCTAACTGCTTTGTCAGGAATGGTAAGTTTGTTCAAACTGCATTCGGTGTGCATGGAGCTGTGGTTCGGAGGTCTGAGCAATTCCCTCAAACATGACATAACATCCCTGAAAGTATAACGTTACCCTCCAATGCAGATACAAGGCATTTGGCCCATCTTGTATGTACCAATCCTCTCAGAAGCATCCACACTATCTCAGTAACCTCACATTTACCTTAGTTAACCTATCTCATACACCATACTTCGGGTCTATTCAGTGGGTCTATTTCACCTAACATGCAAATCATTGGACTGTGGAAAGAAACTGGAGCATCCAAAGAACGTACACGCTCCACAAACTCCGAGGCTAGAATTGAACCAGGCAGCAGCGTTCATCACTGTGCAACCGTGCCTTTCCATTTCATGTTCTACTTTCCAAAATGTGCGCATACTCAACCTGATGGCAAATGAAATAAAATCATTAATAAAGCATCCCTCCTGATCTCATGAACGTGTCAGTTAGACTCCATTTTTTTTTCCATTCATTCACTGGATGAGCGCATCGTTGGTCACGTCAACATTTACAGCCGATCCCTTATTGACCAGAGGGCAGTTAAGAGTTAATTGTATCATTGTGGGTCTGGATTCATATGTAAGTCAGAGCAGGCAAAGATAGCAGTTTCCTTTCTTAAAGGCCATTAGAGAGCGAGATGTTTTTACTTTCTTGACAATTGACTAATGATTCAGAGGCATCGTCAGATTCCTAATTCCAGATTTTTGAATTCGAATTTCACCATCTGGCGGGATTCAAACCCAAGGTTCCCAGAACATTACCTGCGTCTCTGGATTAACAATCCAGCTATAATATCAATTGAATATCACCTCCCCCTCACCATGTGGTGATTTTTGTCTTCTACTTCTCGGATCTCTTTTTTATGTGGTTGAACAGTGATATTAACGAAAATGTTTGATCTCAGCTGTTGGTTTAACCATGTCTTCACTGATTCATTACAATCTACCATAACTATTCGACAAATATCTTTGTGAATCATTTTTGTCTACTTTGATATTTACAAGACAGATCATATTTTCTTATTCCTTAATATTAATTCCTGTCTAATGATTTTGCCCCATAATTAATTCTGCACCATTTCAAATCAGTCAATACCTATTCAGTCAACACTCACTGGTGTTTCTACAATTTCTGCTTTTCTATTCAGTGCAGCACTCATATACATTGATAAAATCCACTTACTGAGCTGCCATGTTATTCTGAATGGGGTCAAAAGTGTTGGAAAGGGAATGGCAGAAATAATAATATGCAGGAAGTCTTCCCTAATCGAGCTAATATTCACAGTTATAACTTTGACATCAGTAATGAGCTCACTTCCTCTCTTCAGGCCCTTTGAAGGGGAGTAACGTATCCTGGTGAATTTGTCACATTTTAACGACAATATTTTCTTCCTTACCAATAACTTATTTGCATAAATGCACATCAGTCGCTGACTCAAATATGTTGTTCGCTTTTTTTGGAAGCCCTGACATTGAGATCTATACCACTGCTGCAAATTGCAATCCAAAGTAACTGTTAAACATGATAATCAGTGGTTTAGTCTCATTGATAATATAACAACTTCTTTTGCATAAGATCATATTGATTCTGAACGCATTCATTTTATCAATGTTTTTCAATCAATTTGCGTTGAAGAATTTCATGTTCATATTGCCTTTTTTTGAAAGTATGGCTGTATACTATTTCCATCATTAATTCATTTACATTTCTGACATAATAGGTGAAGACGCTGACATTGATATTTTGAGCACAACAATTCTGACAGCTGCTGCTCATGGTTAAAAGAAAATGGCCATAAGAATGCTTCTGAAACAAAGCTGGGTAAATCAGTCAGTCTTCCTGTGTGACAGTGAACAATTATACAAGTCAGATTATTGGAAAAAAAGCTGCAAAATTGTTGATGTTGTACGAAATCAGATAGTGAAACTGTGGAGGATTATGAGAGCGTCAGGTAATAAAGATGCCTCAGTTTCAAAAGGTCATATCCAGCCTTCATGTCATTGCTGGGACCACGTGCTTAAAAAGATGTTTGCTGCTCCAGGAAATCTTAGCAAGAGATTCTCACGTAGATTGCTAAGCCCTACCATCTTCAGCTGTCCCATGAATGAACTTTCCTCCATTATAAGGTCAGAAGTAGGAATGTTCTGGTAAGACGTATCTTGGTATTCTGTCCCATGGTTGCTTGATGTTTTTTTGTTTCCATATTAAAACGTGGTCTTCTGTAGATCAATCCAAAAAGGACCAAGGTATGAACCAAAGTTTTTGTTGTTGCAAATAAAAGGTAGCTGAAAGAAAGCCGTGGGACAAAGTTGTTAAGTTAAAAGTGTTGTGATAACAGGTGTATTTTAAGAGCATCATAAGTGGAGCTAGAGGTGGCGAAGTAGAGCGGTTTCGAGAGGGGGAGAAGTAAAGATGAACTGAATTGAAAACATGACTTTTCATTTAATCTTATATTATATTTTCACTTAACCTGAAAAACAGGTCGTCCAGTCTTCCGACTGACAGGTGAATAGTGGCATGTCACTTTACAACATGTGAGCAAAGATTGTGATTTCTGCATGTGGAGAAAATTGAACAATTCCCTTTAATAGTCATAAAATCAAAAAAGCTTCTGTCATGGCCATGTTTGAATAATTACTTACAGAATGAACAGTTGGTTTTTTTTCTATTGAATTAAGACGAGATGGAAAGATTTTTTGCGCCCCTGCAGATTTTAGAGCAGTTAGTTTTGAAATTCAGTCCAAGTGAGCTTCTTGCCCGACAATGATTGGCAGATGACACCAGATAAAAGCCTCGATAGCCATCTATGTTCGTTTTTATATCACGATTACAATTGCTGGATTTAAAATCTCTCTGAAATAACTCCAGTTCCACAAGTTTGAAAGCACACTTTTGATACTTGGACGGCGACCGTTTTTATAGCAGCCTTCAATCTAACAAGTGCGTCTGTGGGGCAAGCAAAAATATTGGTGGAATGAAGCTGAAGACACACTGTTTGTCTATGCTTGTCGGAAATGCACATAA